TTCCCTACAAGCATTTGTTAAACGTACACGGCAGTTTTTCTTTCTGGCATGCTTTGAAGATTTTTTACTTGAAATTACTTTATTAATTTGTGTTTTTTATTGTTTTTGTGCTCATACCTGCCCCAACACCGGTCAATCTGCTGCCCTAGTCTGTCGTTTTTTCGCTCTGGCTGAACAGATGTGCACTTATTTATGGACGTGGTCTTTTAGGGATTCAAAATTAATTCTCAGCCCTCTCTCTGTCGGCTATACTGTGTTCTAGCCGTGGTGGTTTGATATGTGTTTGGAAATGCATTATAAATTATATAATTTGATATTAAAAATAATTTTTAAAAAATTAAAAAAATTATTTTAATATATTTTTAAATAAAAAACATTTTCAACTGCCATTATTATTACCATCACCACCGTTCCATCCTCAACACATCCTAGAATGAGAAGGCCTGTTTCTAAATAGTAGGAGGTGCTTCGATTAGAGTGGAACACGTAGAGGTTGAGTTCGGGCCAATAGATAGAATTGGGAAACCCTTCTCCCTTTCGTCGGTGATACAGTCTTCGCGGCTGGCTAGCAAGATTGAACAAAATCAACGGCGGGAGGGGGTCCAGGCAAGGGTTTCAGTGAACGAAGTAGCAAATTAAAAAAAAGAAAGTCGTAGGAGCAGTTGTTAAGCTCTTTCTCTGGTCAAGGTAATCTGTGAGGTAAAAACCATCAAAGCTTAAGTTACTAGTTATAGCGTGAAGAAGTAATTTATATTGTTTTTTTAATACATTTTTTAAAATGAGAGTTTTTAGAATTTAAAATTTACACGAGTTTTATTATTTTAAATTTAATTTTTATCGACTTATAAATAATGATGATCAAAATATTAATATTATATTAAAGAATTATTTTAATTTAGAAATTTAATTATTAAATAAAATTTATATTATTATCTAATATAATTTTATTCTCATGAATTCATCGTGATGATGCACGCATGCCCAGTCATGTAGCATGTAGGTACCGGTAAATATTCTATATGCCACATGAAGTAAACTCCCTGTATAATATCGGTTAGTTTTAAGGAGTATCTAGCTAATTATTGCTGCATGGTAAATATCTATTAATTCTCGATGTATATCTTATGCTTTTTTATATATCACTCAAACTTTGGATATATATATATATATATGCCCTAGACTTTGTTTTTCAGCCACAAGCCTGTGTAGTAACAATATTAAAGCTATACTTATAATTCACAGCACGCATATATTGAGGATCGAGAATTCACCGATATATATATTCATGTGTGTGTACAAGGTTTTTGGTGTGCAAAATCTTAAATGTCACTTTGAACGTGATTAGTTTTTGTTTTCTGAAAAAATAAAAATTCCCAGCAACGTGTTTTTATGCGCTTTAATTATTTATGATTGGGAATTCATGTGTAGTTAAAATAAAACGATTACTTTACCTTTAATAACTCATAGTATTTAAATTAGCCTCTTGTTTTGTACACAATTGGTGTTCGCTGAGAACTATAAATTAAGTCGAACGGATCCATCTGTAAATTCAACATTTTGGTATAAAAAAATATGCAAGAGCTTTCTGGTAAAAACATGTAGATTTAAGTTGGTGAAGATTTAATTAGCTGGTAAAATAATATATATATATAAATATTGAGAATGTTAGAAAATATAGTTTTGTAATCTTTTAAATCATTTTTTTATTAGTAAAAATAGGGATTAATTTTTAGTTAAAAAGCCTGATTATATTTAACGAATTTATTTATTAAAATAAATTTTTTATTTAATTTAATGATGAAATAGACACAATTATGAAAATAATTGGATAAAATATAATAAATATTATACAAGGTTGTGCTTATTAGAAATTTTTTTTGTCATTTTTGTGAAAACCAATTAAAAATTAAACAATATTTAACTGATGAATAAATTAAAAAGTTGAGAAATAGGAGTATAAATATCTAATCTCAAAACATGAATTATAAATTTACTTGTATTCAATAACATGTTATTGAATTTTAGAAGTAATATTTTATTTAATAAAATGAAAAAAAACATATAAAAGTGATTTAATACAATTAAAGAGAAAATAGAATGTTAGGTATAACTGCATAAAAAGAATGCTTCATAAGAACATAAGTGTATTTGTAAGCTACGTATAAATTAAATTATATTTTATTGAAGAAAATCATATATTTAAAATATATGTGGGATTGGCGGGTGTTCTTGCCTGGGCTTAAAACAAAGCTGAGGTGTGTTGCCCTTCTACCTAGATATACACACCTGAGACGAGTCGTTTTTATTTTTTTTCAAGGGGTTAAAGATACTTTACCTACTTCTCCCTATATTTTGGCCATGGTTATGAATCAAGATTGAAATTTTTTATTTATTTTTATCAAAAACATTTATAAAACATCATATATATTATGATAAAACTGTATATGATCTCTAGCAACCCTAAAACCAGTCTATAAATTAAAAATTAACTTGAATAAAAAAACTTTTTAATCTAAAATCTACCATTTTAGATGATTGGAAAGTCAAATAACACTTAAGTGAAATTTTTTTTATCAAATAGAATTCATTAACATTAAAATTAATTATTTTCATAACTTAGATTAATATCAGTTGAGAATTTTTTTTTATTTATTATTAAAATTGGGTGATTTTTTCTCAAACTAGGATTGGAAAATAAGGATTCAAATTTCCAGATTAAAATTAAAATTTTAAAATCTAAAAGGACATAATGATGAAAATGATTGAATAAAATATAATAGATATTATACACAATGATATCAATAATGTCAAAATCTAAAAGGACATAACTCGGCATAGCTTGTGGTTAGAGTTACTTTTTAAATAATTTTTTCGTGTTAAAATATATACTAATAATTTTTTAATAATTATTTTTTATATTAGCATATATTAAAATGATACGAAAACACTCAAAATATATTGATTTAAAATTAATAAAAATTAAATTAAATTTTTTTAAAAAATATTTTTGAAATGCAGAAATAAACTACAAATAACTAATTGCTTTTTTTATATAAAAATCTTGACAAGATCACTTGCAAATGCAATAAGAACACTCTTTAAAATTTTAATTTATAAAAAGTGTGATTATAATTAAGTGATAAAGAGAGAGCATAACCCAGTTACGACTCTACGAACACCAACGTAATAATAATTATATATTGTATTTTAATTATTTATAAATTACCAAAAAAATCATATTTATAATAGGTGATACGTGAAGATAAAAAAAAAAATCAGTTACAAATACTATATTCAAATGAACCCATTGAATTGTTCAAGAAATCCCAGGATTTAATTCCATGATTTTTTGTAACTTGGAAAGCCATCAAACTATCTACTATAAATATGTTAAAGGTCCTTCTTTCATTGTTTTGTTTGTCGTTTTTTTAACAGTGTACAAACAACTATACAGAGCAACTATCAAGCGTGCTTGTTTAGAATTGTTACAGCAGTGGTTAAAGTTTAAAATATTTAAATATAAAAAAAATTATATTTTTTAGTGAAAAACTTGAATTTTAAAAAAATGTGATTGAAATTGTTTTTCCAAACATGATGTTAGTAGCCAAACTAAAAACTATAAGTTGATAGGTATTAAGAAATTATTTTAATTTAATAATTTAAGTTGTTAAATAAAATTTTAGTATATAATTTATATTATTTTTTAATACACATTCTAAAGTAAAAATTATCTGTACTTGAAATTTGTAAATACTCATATTATTTTATATCTAATTTTTATTAAATAAATATAAATTATGAGATTTCAACTCGTGATTGTTTCATCATTAAAACTCTAATATTATCTCAAAAAAATATTTCAATTTAATAGTTTAATTTCTAACAATAAAAAATTACCTAACAATTGAAAATATCTCTATATTAAATTTTACTATTTATATTTTTTAATTTACACGTAAATACGTAGTCGACTGAGAATCTTGAATTTACAAGATCTGCTCGTAGTTTGGCTCTTGAAAGTTGTCATCCATCCATAGTAGTGTCCAAAAATATGCATATGAACTTATAGTGGGTAAATTATATAATTTAATCTTAAATTATGGGTAAATTAAAATTTAATCTTAAATAATCATTGGTTGTTCAAATCAAAGAATTAATAGTTTTTTTTTAATTTAATTATTAACTTATAGTGGCTAATTATAGGTCAACAAATATAAA